TAAGTTTTTAATTACATTTTCAATTTCATTGGTTGATATTGGGTTGTTCAGAGTTTTTAGGTCTTCTTTGTTCAACTTTGGTAATTCATATGTATCTAGGAATCTGTCCATTTCACAGATGTAGTGTGGTCTTGCCTGAAGGATTGACCAGACAACCCCTTGAGATCAGCCAAGTGTTTATAATTTAAGACCACACTGGGTTTAGACCACCAGATCTGCTAGCCTTTGAGAGGATTCACAAAACAGCCACTGTTCCTGAGGGCTTATTCTGTGACAGGGGATACAGAGAAAACAACTATACAAGCGGCAAAAATGGGGCTAGCATCATCCCTGGAGAATGAGGAAATATTTGCAGGTATTTAAATGTCTGGGAAGGGACATGGTTAAAAATCTGGCTCATGAGGCAAAGACCCGGAGAACAGGAAGCAGCTACCCCTATCTTGGGGAGACAGTTTAAGCAACAGGGACAACAGAAGCAAAGATGATTCCCTGGCATAATGAAGGAACAACAGGGAGGGCACTGAGTGAATGGGGAAATCGTAAGTTATTTATTTTTTTATTTTGTTGCTTGTTTTTCTTTTGAAACGAGTGAACCCAGGGCCTCATGTGCTAGGCAAGTACTCTACCAATGAACTACATCCCCCCCCCCTTTATTATTTTTTTTTTAGACGATCTTGCTTAGTTGCCCAGGGTGGACTTGAACTTATGGTCCTCCTGTTTCAGCCTCTGAAGTAGCTGGGATTATAGGCATGTGCCATAAAGCTCCGCTTAAAACAGTATTTCTTCAGAGAGTGGGGTGAGCTCAGAAGTATCTTTCCCACCTCTATTCTGAGTGAGATGAGGAGCAAGCAGAAGGTTCTGAACAAATGAAAGTTTCATCTCACTTGACTTTTAAAAGAATCCCTCTGGCTATGGAATAGAGCAGCCCTGAGCCAACTTTTTTGTCTCTGACCCTTGCCCTCTTGAATTACTGAAGACTCCCAAGAATTTTATGTAGGTCATGTCTATAGATTTTTACCATATTAAAAATTTTAAATAATAAATGTTTATTTATTTTAAAATAATAACGAAGGCACTACATGTTAATGCAAATAACATTTTATGAAAATGACTATTTTTCAAAACAAATCAGAGGAGTAAGAAGATGGCACTGTTTTCAGTATTTGCCAATCTGTTTAATGTCTGGCGTTCTGTCTGTTCATTACCATATGTCATGTAACCTCAGGAAAACTTCACTGTGCACTCACCAGAAAATGAATTAAAAAGGCAAATGATGGGGTTTTTTTGGTACCGGGGATCGAACTTGGGTCCTTGCGCTTGCGCAGCAGGAGGCGAAACCACTGAGGTAAATCCCCGGCCCCTAAATGTTGTTTAATATTATATGAAAATAATTTTGATGTTTAATATTCTGTGAAAATAATTTTGATGGGGCCCGGGATTTAGCTCAGTGGTTTCGCCGCCCGCTGCACAAGCACAAGGACCCGACTTCAATCCCCGGTACCAAAAAAAAAAAAAAGAAAATAATTTTGATGTCACTACGCCTCTGCAAAGGCACTCTGACAAACCGGCAGAGAAGGAAGTAGATGGTGGGAGACGAAGATCAAGGCATGGAGACCAGCTAGGAGCCTCTTCCAGTAAACTGGTACACAGCTGGTGGCCTGGGAAGTAGGAGACGCAGTGAGGACTGGCAAGTTTCTAGATGTAGTTTAAAGGTTGATCTAGTAAGTTTTGCGGACTAGGATAGAATAGGACTAGAATAGGTGTGGCTATGAAAGAAAGAAGGCGAAGCTGACTCAAACTTTGAATCAGAGGAACTGCACAGATGGGTTTCCTGTTTACTGAAATGTAGAAGATTGTGCAAATAACAGATTTTGGATGAAATGAAAAATTGTTTTGGACCTGTTAATTTTCACATACCTCTTAAAACATCCAGTTGGAAATTTCAAATCAAAAGCTGGATATTTAAATCTGGAATTCAGGGGAAGGACTTTTTATTGTCTTTGTAACTTTCAGTGCTTTTTAAGGAAAGAATGCGTAAAAGTAAGTTACCTGTGTTGTACAGTGGCTAAAATATAGTTATACTCTCAGAATTGAAAGTTGGTTTTGCCAGGGATTTAGCTCAGTAGTTTCACCGCCTGCTGCGCAAGCTCAAGGACCCGAGTTCAATCCCTGGTACCAAAAAAAAAAAAAAAAAGAAAGAAAGAAAGTTGGTTTGGCTAAATATTGAGCTCCAAATTGGCAACTGCTTTCATTAGGAATTAAAAAACAAAAAAACTTTTTACCATGTCCCAGCATTCACTTTTGTTGCTGAGAAGCCTGATGTTGATCTGGTTTTCATTTCTTTGTATATGCCCTCTTGCCCTCTCTGTTTCCTCTACCAGAGGCTTTTAGGATCTCCCCTTCACTTCAGCCCTCGTGTTCTGAAACATCACCCTGGACACTTTAGTCAGGCTGTGTGATAATGAGTCCCCTAGTTTTGGAAAATTTTCTAGTATTCTTACCTAGATAATTTCTCCTTCATTTTTCTCCTTTTACTCCTTATGAAATTTCTGTTTTTGAAACAACTGGATCTGAAATCTATATTTCTATTTTTCTTTTCTAATTCCTTTTTTGTTCTACCTGAAGATTGATTTTGTCATCATTAGCCTCTAACCCTAAGCTTTTATGAAATGCTTATTTTATAAATACATCATCTTCTGCTAATTCTCTGAGAATATTAATTAGAATTTGAGGATCTTAAAACTCCTGCTCTCTGCTTTTGTATTTTCCCCTGCTTTTGTTTTGATTTGTTGTTTTGGTGGTTATTTTCTTTCTTTTCTTTTTTGCTTGCTTCTTTTTGTATTTTTCTTATTTATATTTGACTTTCAGGTTGGAGGCATTCCCACATTGCTGGTGATCTATAATTGTGTCTTTATAAGTCTTAGTTTGTTTTGGAATGCTATAACAGAATACTGCTAGGTCTGAGATGGTCCAGAAGTTGGAAGGTCCAATATTAAGTCCCTGGCACCTGGCAAGGGCTTGTTACATCATCACAAGGTGGAAGGAATCAGGTGGCAGATGAGCTGAGAGGAGAGGAGGGAGGGAGGGAAAGAGAGTTACAGAGTACACTCAAAAGGCTTGCTCCTGAGATAATGACATAAATTTATTCATGAGATGAAGCCTTTAGGACCTAACACCTCTTAAAATTTCACCTTGTTGTTTCTGGTGGTGGTAGTGGTGGTGGTGGTGGTGGTGGTGGTAAGATACTAGGGATTGAACCCAGGGCCTTTGTCCTGGACTATATCCTCAGCACCTTTTTATTTCTTATTTTGAGACAAGGTCTCGCTGCATTGCCCAGGCTGTGCTCAAACTTGGGAGCCTCCTGTCTTGGCTACCTCTTAATACTGTTTAAATAACAGTCTGTCTTCCACATGAGTTCTAGAAGAGACATTCAAACCATAGCATCATGTTGGAGCATAGAAAAGCTGTTTGGAAGTTCCTTGTGAATTGTGAAACACATTTCCACCGAAGTGTTTCACAATGTGCTGATCAGATCCATAAGCACGCTTTTTGTTGTATAACTTCCACTTTGATGTCATTGCTACAGGAATATGACCTACGCCATCTTTATTTTCTTTTTTTGGTACCAGGGATCGAACTCGGGTCCTTGCGCTTGTGCAACAGGCGGTGAAACCACTGAGCTAAATCCCCAGCCCTGCCATCTTTATTTTCATCCAACCCAAAAAGTGTGTGTATGTGTGTGTGTGTATCAATGTGTTGATTGGGCATTTGTGTATGTGGCTCTGTTTTGTAAATGTAAAAGCACCAGGATGGTGGGACTTGTCTAAGTGGAATTGGATCTAGACCTTGGATTTTCTGTTAAGTGTTTGTTCTTCAGCCAGTGCTCTTAATACTCTCATCAGTACGTTCCTCAAGATAGAAGAGCTTTTCTGCATGTTTTAGGAATCTAGGAGTAGAGCTGCAAGCATCTTGCTTGAAAGACCAATTTCATTTAATATCTTATATTTTAACTTTAAAAAGTATGTGATTTTATATTTGATTTTGGATGCCTGTTTCAATAGAACATTTGGGGTTTTTGTTTGTTTTTTGAGACAGGGTCTTGCGACATAGTTCAGGCTGGCCATGGCCGTGCACCACCACACCTGGTTCAATAGGACATTTGTTTTATTAATCTCAAATCTTTTGAGTAAAATCAGTGTGCCAGGAAAGTATACCCTGTGTATCGGGGGCTTCCTACCTAACCCCTCCTCCACTTGAAGGCATTTACCTGACCCAGTGGGAGAAGCTCTGCCCACGGGACTGAAGAGTTGTATTGTGCGTTCATGTACTGTCAGAGGGACACCCCCATCTCCTCTCTACACTCAGTGGTAACTTAAACAATAAAGGACATAGTTTCTTTCTCTCAAATAATAGTCTGGACAGAATCATACGGTGCTGAGGATGTGGCTTCCTTATATGTTGATGTTCCACCATTGCTAACATGTGCCCCTAGCTTTATAAGTGACGCTGATTAATCCTAAGACTACATCTTGTCCAAGAAGTAGGGAAGAGGGCATGTTGAGGGCAAGTTCCTTTCCTTTGAAGTCACTTTAAAGGGCTGAATCCATCTTTTCTGTTTATATTCTATTGGCTAGGACCAGGCACATGGCCTCACCTACCTACAAGGGGCTGGAACATGTGCTAATCTATTATCCTGTAAAAGGGAAAGGGAGACTAATAAAGGGAACCCACATGCTGCCTTCCCACGTGATACCGATATGACAAAGAGCACAGGAACAGTTGGCAATAGAGATTCAACTGAGGGTCCCTCCGGTTACTCCTCCTGGAGATCAGATGACTCAGCTTCCACATTGTAGCTGCTTTCCTTGGGCACAGCTGCTGACATCATGCAGGCCCTGGAAAGTCAGCTGTGCTCTGGGGTGCAGTGGTCAGAGGAACAGCCTTTCCATAAGGGGTTTGTGCTCATACTTGCAAGACTGTAAGTACCTGTAAAGAACTCTTGTTCTTAAGGAACTGTCCAGTTGATTTTATCATTATTAGTCTTGGCTGTGGTGGCTTCCTTAAAACTTTGAATTCTGCTCCAGAGATGCTAGGTGCTGAGCAGGCTCCCAAGAGTTGTACAGTGTGTGGAGAATCTTAGAGAATCGCACATTTGTGACCTCTCAATTGGGACAAATTGGCATTTCATGGGGTTTTGACAGGTACACATACAGTGTGAGATGTTTGATGAAGAAACACCTATCTTGAGACAAGTGGAAAAATTACCAAATATTCTGACGTGGACATCACAGTTTTGGGGTTCTTAGAAGTGCTTTCTATCAGCAGCAGGTATAGGGCACACACAGTAAATTTTCAGAATCCAGAAAATTCCCAAAAGAGAAGCCTAGCTAATATTTTCTTAAGCAAATAATGGGATTTGTAATTATTATATTTATTGCCAGGTACTTTTCTAAATGTTTATCATTTAAAGGGGTTAAAAACCTGCCTAAGGTCACCAGCTGGTAGCCATAGAGCTAGGTTGCAAACCTCAGTCTTTCTGGCGGTAAAATTTACATAGTGATCACTGCATTATATTATACAAAATGGTGTGTAGAGATAGATGACTTACATTTATTTTTATCTTTTAGATTAATGTGGCTGCTTATGACTAAACTTAGAATTCTGGGAATGCAGATGTTCACTGAAGTAACATATACATATAAGGTAATAACAGGAGTTTTTTACTGTTGGCATATATTGTTTTGGATGAAGACCTTCATATCACCCTATTTTTACAGCTGTAATCAGTTTATAGGGATGAGAATTTGCAAAACTTACCTTTGAGTTTTGCATTAAAACCCTATTAATGCAGTTTAGTGTCCTAAGTAGCAGCATGTCATATCTTTATGAATGGTCTGCCCAGCTGTGGTTGTGGGCCCAGTAAGGAGTGGCCATTGTGGTTTAGAAGACACATAGTATGAGTGCAGTTTGTTTCTGCAAAATGCTTAAGGGACCTTTCCTTCAACTGAAAGGAAAAAAGATGTTAAACCAAAATTAGGGCTATGGGCAAAGGACTATATCATATTAGAATATTTTGTAAAGCAAAAGTATTTTAGCTGAGGTACTGAGGTATGTTACTAATGTCAAGCAGCACATGTATTTCTAGAGAATCTCGGGAATGTATGTTTATAACTAAGAATATCTTTACATTTACTCAGCTAGACTGAGATTTTTTTAATTGAAATGTACTATAGTTTCAAAAGGCCCCTCTGTGCCATATCCAAATAAGAGCATAATAGAACCCTTATGAAGAAACCACACATCTTGAAAACAGTGGTTTTCTTTGATGTTCCTTGGCCACACTGCTGTTTGATTTAACATTTCTGGTAATGGAGTTGCTTGAGTCTCAGTATTAGTTTGCTCAGGATTTTATGTTTTTGCCAGACCTCTTCCTGTTGACATAGTCACTGAATCAAAATTATTTGTGTGATATCACAAGCAGTGTTAAGTATAGCATTTGAAAACACTCTTGACTCCAATATGTTAATTAATCTATTTGAATGTGTTTGCTTGGAAACCTGGAATGATGCCTGTTTTTAAATGTGTTTGTTTTTATAAGGTAATCTGAAAAAGATGAAAAAATTTTAATCCCATCAATAAGGTTTTCCAGTAATTGTTCTGCATATCTCAACATTTTATATGCTAAGCCATTTCATTTAGTGGAAATGGAGAAGGTGGCAGGATCACTATGCTTTAAAAACATACATCTGTGTCCTCATTTTTAGGAAGATTATACTTAAGCATCATTACTCATTTTATATTAGGATTACCTGTGAACAAGATTAAGAAAGTTTTTCCAAAACTAAGCAGTTGATATAAAAATGGAATGTTATATCATTTTTCATACTACATGATAAAGTATAAAATATTTATTGAAAACATGTATACACAGCATGCTGAAATGGGCCCTTTTCAGCATGAAAATGATTTACCTGTTCTCTCATTTAGCTACTGGATGAAGGTAGAGTCTACCCCTTAAATTCTATAAAGTTATTAAGTGCCTAAGAGGTGGTAGAATTAAAATATTTAAAGTTAAAGAGTTAGGAGCTTCTGCCAGTGGAAAAGCAAATAAATCTAAAAGAAAACACCTCTGAGTTTATATTATACTCTGAATATAATACACAGTTAAAAGTATGTCTTATATTATAATGTAAGTTGATAGGAAATTTTAGATAGCATCACTCACAGTTTTTAAGAAACCCTCTGTAAAACAGAACACCTTTTATTGTTAACTAATTCTTAAGTTAAATCAGGAAGGAATTCAGTTCAGTGTTCAGTTCTGTAGTTTCTTCTCTCTATGGAATGTTGGTTTAGTGATTTAGAATATGGGCCCTAAAAACAGATCACTTATGTCACATTCAGGCCCTTCTACTTACTGCTATGTAACCTCCACCAGGATACTTCCAAAGTCATTACCTATGTCACATTCAGGCCCTTCTACTTACTGCTCTGTAACCTCCAGCAGGATACTTCCAAAGTCTCAAATTTTTCCACAAACATGGGATTATAGTACTTTAAGCCCTGGATATTTGGGAGTTAAATAATATAATACATTTGAAGTCCCTGCCACCTGTTAGGTACACTGTAAACCCTAGCTCATGTTGTGGGGTTTTCCCTTATACAGAACAAGAGTTTTATAAAGTAAGATCAATACTCATTGTTACTTTAAAACACTTATCAAATGAACATGGATCCCATCAGAAACTACTGTTCTAATATTTAGAGCATCATCTACATTCAGAAAATGTTCCAGAGGAGTAATTCATGGCTGTATGTGTAGAGCTCTGTGTGATGTAAAACCATTACAGCTGACAGGTAGGTCAGGGGTGGGGAGTGCCCAAATGAGCAACTCAGTCTCTGCCCTGACAGAGTTTACAGTGTGAAAGAGGAATAGATGAGACTATAAATAACCCAAGGCAGTAAAGGAGTGAACAGAACAGGTAGAAAAGTGTTGATCTTGGACTCATATGAAAATACTCAGCCACAGGCTTTCAAATGAGACACTGCAATTATGGCCTAAGACCCCTCCAGATATTATCCAGGTAGTGTGCTCTTCCCCAGGGAAGGTGGGCCTTTTGGTCCTGATGTGCTCTGGGAAGAGGTTGTGTGCAGGTGATATTATAAAAGATCCAAGGTTGAAATATAGGGGCTGGAGGTGTGGCTCAGTGTTCGCATGTGCACAACCCTTGATTCCACCTCCAGCCCCAGGAAGGAAGGAAAGAAGGAAGGAAGGAAGGAAAGAAGGAAGGAAGGAAGGAAGGAAGGAAGGAAGGAAAAATTTATAGAGTATCGAGCTCATTCTGAGCACACTTTACCTTTGGTAGGGCCAGATAAAGCTCTGGTTTTTCCCTAAGACATCATTTGGTGCATAGCTTTACTTTGTATCACTAAAAGACAAAACACATGTTTCTAGAATAGGTCTTAATTTCAGCTGCATGATGGAATCACCCCAGGACCTTTTTAAAAAACATGTCAGGGGCTGGGGATGTAGCTCAGCAGCACAGCACCTGGCTGGAAATGCGAGGCCTTGAGTTCGATTCCTAGTACCAAAAAAAAAACGTCATGTCTGGGCCCCACCCCAGGGACTCTATTTGAACTGAACCCAGGTATCCATAGTTTTTAAGCTTTCCAGGTGATTGCAATGCACAGCTAAGGTTGAGAGCTGCACTCCTCTGCCTGCTCTGGATTTTATGCCACATCCCCCAGGTGTTCTCTAATAAATTTCTGGAGCCAAGCTCAGCCCACATTCTATCAACAGGTTTTCCAGTCGACAGTTTCTAATTGAAACCAGTGAGTGTGTTTTCCCTTTGGAAACACACAGCACTTTCTGTGTTCCAGTCAGTGATACTGGCTCCTGAAGAATGTTTAGCCCCCCACTGGCATAGTAGGGCGCTTTCTCATTTAACACCCTGGAAGCCTCCTCATCCAAGCATGATTTACTGTCCTGTTTTTCATGTCTCTATGGGATGACCCAACAGGTTTTGTTCTAGAAACTTTTATTCAAGTCATTTAACAACAGGTTCTTCCTAAATCTCTCATGCAGTACATTTGAAACCTGCTGTTAGGTACCAAGTTGAGGCATGTTGGGTTTGGTGCTTCAATCTATCCTTGTACTTCCAGGCTCTTGAGTCGTCTGTTAGCCCTACATGTTCCTTTGTTTATCTTAATTTACTTAATATTTCTCTACAGGTTCTGTTGCCACTACTTTATTCTTCCATTCAACATGTATCTCTTGTGTGACAGATAGGAGCCAGGAAATCTCATAAACAGTAAGGCCAAAACAATTGCCAAATCAGGCAAAAAATGTCTACCTATGAGGGACTTACATTCCAGTGAGAAGCAGAAAAGGAAACAAGTAACTAAACTGTGTGGTATGTTGAAAAGCGTGTAGCTATGTGGGGGCCAGGGATTCAGCTCAGTGGTGCTGCACCTGCCTCGTAATCAAAGGGTCCTGAGTTCAGTCCCTGGTACTAAAAAAAAAGTGTGTAGTTATGAAGAAGAATAGGATAGGGGAGAAGGAAGGGGAGTGTGGGCCATAGTTTTAATAGTAAATTGACTTTGCAGTATTATCCAAGAAGTGGTAATTGCTTCAACCAGAGTAGTGGTGGCAGAGATGGTTAAAAAAAAAAATGTGGTTGAAATCTGGATAAGTTTCAGCAAGGCCAGAAGAAGGCAAGGGTTAGAGCCACAAAGATACTAGGAAGAGGAGAATTCTAGGCAGAAGTGCTGCAAGTGCAACATCCCCAAGGCAGTAGTGAATTTGGGGTGTTCTAGAAACTACTAAAAGGACCTATTGGCGAGAGCAAAGAGAAGTAGCAGGAGATGGCTAAAATAGGGAGGGGCGGAAATGAGATTGCATAGACAGTCTTGGAGGATTTTTGTAAATGTCCTGAATAATGCTAGTTATAGAATTAGGTTACGTTTGTGGCTCTTGAATACTGTACTACATATTTAGCATTTTTGAATTAGTACGTATTTACAGTACATAATGATTATATTTATCATGGGGAGTTAATACATGTACATAACACATCTTAATTCTTTCAGCATCTCCTACCCCTCCCACCCCTCTCTGCTCTTTCCAACTCTTAATCCCCTTTCCATTTGCCAAAGCTCTATTTCCATTTTTTCCTCTTTTTTTATCCTCTTTCCCTGCCCCCTCCTCCATCTTTTGTTCCCTTTACTATTTGAAAAAGGATCTCCCTACTTTCTATTATCTGCCTTTTATTTTGTTCAACATTACTGCTGGTTTAAACCCATCATAATTTCCTGCCATCGCCGCACTCCCCTTTTGCTGTGCTTATTCATTACTGGCCATTTGCTAAACTAAGCTCTCTGTGATTACTGTCGCTTGTCAAACACACTTCTCTTCTTGGAGTCTTTATTTTATTGTAGGTCCCTGGAAGGTGACTGAAGCAAGCAACACAGTAAAGGGCTCAGATACAGCTAATAATATGGTAAAAGAGCCCATAGTTCAAAATAAATCAGGCTGAGAATACTTCTTGTCCTACTCCTCTTCTTCTATCCCCTAACTCCCCAAATAGATAAAACAGAGAATTTTCCATTTCTGCCTCCATATAAATAACTCAGGTAACCTCTTTTGACTTCTTTGCTTCTCTTTTGTCCCTAAACAGAGTACATTATATTCTAAATTCTGGTAGTCA